ATTAAGAGATATATGTGCTGATCTGCTAAATTGATCTTTTATATAAATCAGATATTTAGTAATGCAGTTTTACAGATCTTTTTTTTTTTAAATAAAATTTTTGCAAAATTTTCTATTCTAACGATTTTTCAAAATAATTTAAAAAAATTATTTTTAGAGACTTGAACTTTTTTTTATTATTCAAGCAGTAGCGAAGATACAAATTGAATTTTTGTCTATTGTAGTAATGAGACAATAATAGAAAACCTCTTAAAATAAAGACAAGGCTTGGACAAGTAATTCATATTAACAAAGAGTCAATTAATATAATTTTAAAATTATACCAACAAATGTTATCTTTAATATTCTAGCTAAAGTACATATATTACTACTTAGAAATATAACAGGTTTGCCAATTCTCAATTTTTTATAAAATTTTTTTTATATTATGTATTAAATAGGTTATGATAACAATATTAAAATAGATTAAGATCAAATAAGATATAAAATAAATATTACCTTTTTATTCCATTTTAATTTTAATAATAGTAATCAAGATTGAGCTATACAAATTTAATGTCTTGATTTTATAAGATTTTTAAGTAGAACCGGCCGGCTAGCTTTTTTTTTAAAACATAAAATTTGATCTAGTCAGATATGAAAGCCAATTATATAATTAAAATTAATTTTGTATAGTCCCCCATATTTTTGTATAGACAAAAATCATACTACTCCAAACAGTATAAGAATAACGCCCATATGCACTTTATCGCTATGTATATACTAAATTAGTTTTTTAATATAATTACATATGTACGTACATACCAACTAGTTTTTTTTAGAAAATAAAATTTAGTTTAAAATTATATAACCTGACAAATTTTATAACTATCAGAAGGTCCTTGTTTAGTAACATTTTCAACCAAAGCCATAGATATTATGAATCTGCCTTTCGGCAGTCTAAAATAAAGATTAAAAAAATTTCTAAACATTTTTCTTAATAGAATTTGCCATTAAGCTAGTCATTATGATTAACGTTAAATGAAGTATCTTTATGATGATTAAAAATTTATGTGAAATGTGTGTTTAAATTTTTAACCAATTTGAGCAAAAAGAATAGTATGTTTCACTTTTTTCATCTAAATGATAACTTACTTTCTGATCTATTGGATAGGGTACTTGATAATTTTTAAGACAATTATTAATGCTATGTATAAATATTGTATAAATACATCTGGTTTTATGAATTTTAAAATCATTTGAAAAAGCAATCCTAATTTAGTCTGTCTAGTAAGATTTTGATTACGCATTTATTTATTTGTTTTGAGTTAATTCATATACTGTATCCTTAGACTACTTTCTTGTAATATATATTTTATGTCAATAAATTTTACAAACTTATATTTAATCTTATTATAGTATATATAATACTGAATTTTGACTGTTAATTAATATTCCAGATTAAGGCATATAAATATATATAAATTTCTAATAGTATGGAAAATGTGTTAGATGTATTACCGAAATAAATAGATCATAGATTCAAAATTTTTTTGAGGTTTAATACTAATGAATACAGTATATAATTTAGTGACTAAATTATAAACTTAGAAAACAAATACTTATATTTAGTGATTGAATTTTAGCTTAATTTCATAAATATACCAATATATTAGTTTATGTTTAATAGATTGAATTATAAAAACAATTTATATTATCTCTTAAAAACCTTTTTTCTATAACTTAAGCAATTATACTAGATAGCATATGTTAGAATGTTCAAACTTAAGTGACTTTAGAAATTTTTATTGTTTAAATAATGAAAAATCCCCAAAATCATATAAGTCTTGACATTCTAGTATATATATTTTTATAAATTACTATTAATACCAAATGTTTATATATTATTAAACCAAGTTGTAGAAACATAAAGTCAAATCTTCTTTTATCAATTATCTTAAAATTATTTAATCTTTTAGTTCGATCATACATATTAAATTTAGTAGTTCTAAGATAGAATACTTTTATATAATCATCAATATCTTTATGTTTGCTTAAATGCTATTTGATAAAAATCTAAAAGTCTATGCAATGATCTAAAATACTAAATATAAATTAATAGCCAATATAATATACTATACAAATGAAAAAAAAACTTTGAAACAGTCAAAATAACATATTACAGTCAGATCTTTCTAAATACAACCTATCTAAATATAATACCTTTCTAAATACAACTTTAAGCTCTGGTCCAAATGTATTTCTGATATATGTAAATGTAATTTTTCTTATTATTCTGTTAAAAGTTTAATCCTAATGAATTGCATTTAGAGAGGTCTGAGTATAGTTGTTTAGAATGTTGGTTGAACTTCTACAGTTTAAAAGAAATATATTTTAAAAACTGCTACTCAAGGTTTCATTATATGTAAGCGATCTGATTATCTTACCAATTCTCTGATTACTTTGTATATAAACTCTTTTAAGTACGAACTATGTGTTTATTAATTTTTATAGTCTTTGCATTCATTTATTAGTCTTTATATTACATTTTGGTTTAATTTATATATAATCTATTATTAATCTAATTTTGGGATATTATACTGATTGGTGGATATAGTGTTAAGTAATATAAATATTTTAAATTTTTTTAAAAATTTGATCGAAAATATCTTAACAACCACTTGACCAAAATTAATAAATTTTTATTATTTGAATTCTATAAATCTGTAAAATTCAAATAAAAAGAGTTCATCAATTTTGATCAAGTAGTTGCTAAGATAACTTTGATCAAGTTTTGATATAAATATTGATATAGCTATAGTAGGACCTCAAAGAACTCTGATATAACTTAAATCTGAATTTGTATAATATTAGCCAAATAATATATAAAATAGACTAAAATTTAAAAAATTTACTATATAAAAATGCAATGTTAAATAAATCTCTATACAAAATTTTCTTTTTTAGTAACCTTTGATTTATATTAAAGTTCATCAGGATTTTGCTATAGTACTGTATTAAGTGATATTGATATTTTAAATTTTTTTAAAAATTTAAATAAAGATATCTTGAAAACCATTTGACTAAAATTGATAAAATTTTTTTTATTTGAATTCTACAGATTTGTAAAATTCAAATAAAAAAAATTTATTAATTTTGGTTAAATAGTTACTGAAATATTTTCAATTAAAGTTTTAAATTTTTATAAACAATAAAGTGATAAAATCGAGTTGATTTTTAGTATAACTATAGTATAAATAACAAAAAAGCATAATGCAAATAGCAATTCTCTTAATATAATATAATATTAGAGTCTCTAATTTTAGTATCTTCTAATATGATGTTTAATAGATGATTTGCCAGTCATCTGGAAAGCTATATGATACAGATTATACAAGATTTATATATAAATTATATATCAGTCAACCAATTTGTCACATTTAAATTTTTTATATATAAACTTATAGCAAAAATATATAGAATTACATATAAACTTTGTTGCGATGATGTTTCTTCTTTTATATATTAACTTTAAATTAAATTTTATGAATAAATACATCAAGAAGGGAAGAATAAAATGCTTTCAAAGCTAAATTAAAATTTTGCAATTTTTGTACAATTTAAAAATATAACTCTGTCAAAAAAAAAAATTTAATAGTTTTAAAGTAAAAAATATATGTAAAATTATACTTTGAATAACTTTTAGTTAGTAAGTAAAAAAGATTATTTTAGTAAAAAAAAAGTTTTCTATATACTAATATCAAAATTTTCAGTTTTTCTATATAACCCTTTTTTTTCTGCTTAGATAATCTGTTCTGATCTCTTAAGCAAATTTGTTTATCACATAATTCTACATATTTTGTATTTTACTGATTTTGTTTTTTTAAACATTTTACTAAGTGAAAAATTGGATCAAAGGTTATATAAAAAATTTTTTAAAAAATTTTTTTAAAAAAAATTTTTTGTATAATCTTTGATCCAATCTTTCACTTAGTAAAATATTTAAAAAAAAACAAAATCAATGAGATACAAAGTATGTAGAATTGTGTGTTGAACAAATTTGCTTAAAAGGTCAGAACAAGTTATCTAAGCAGAAAAAAAGTTTTATACAGAAAAACTAAAAATTTTGATATTAATATAATGCACATCACTTAGTCATATCAAATTTTAATAATAGTGTGAAATTTTTGTCGATCATCACGTTACTTTTAGCCAATAAGATCTCATAATTTTTGAATATATAAAGAATAATAATTGTAAAAAAAAGAAAAGTAAATTGTGCATTTTGCATGTACATTTAAAGATATAAGGTCATATAAATTAGAACTAGGCAAATACCATACGTTACATTAAAGAGAAATCATATAGTGCATGCACTTATAAAGTATACACTTAAAGAATTCTAACTTATAGAACAAAGTAAGTGTTTAATGATCTAGAATTATTAAAAGTAGTCTATCCATTTATTCATTTTATTTTATACTAATTACAGTTTGGATTATCTATTAGGTGTCTATATGAAAAGTTGTTAGACATTCATTTTTGAGTTGCTAGGTGTTTGTGAGTTGTTAGGTGTTGGATGTTAAGTTGACGTAGTTGAGTTGATATTAAGTTGGCATAGTTGAGTTGATATTAAGTTGTTAGGTTGTTGAACGTTTGCTGTTGACATAGTTGAGTTGGTGTTGTTTGCTGTTAAATTGGTGAATATTTGTGCATGAATTGTTGGTTTTTCTGTTAAGTTAGTTGCTGGATATTTGTCATCAGGTAAAAACATTAATTGATGAAATTATTAATTAGATATATATAAGGTTCTAATTGATTTATTATTGTAATTATTTTATTTATTCAAAATTTACTTTTAATTATTTAGATTCAATAACTATTATTAAAAATACCACCTAAAAAACAAAAAGCATATTTAAAAAGAGCACGTAAATTAAGATATGATAATTATATATTGAGATATAAAATTGTTTTTAATCTTTATTGTTATAAAAACACAAAAGAAAAAAATTAATTTAATGATAATATTTAGTTGCATAGTTGGAAACTGATTATAGTACAGACAGTCATTCTAAAGAAAATAATAATACGATCGATGAATATTGGGTTGATGATACAACTAATAATGATTGGGTTAATGATACAACTGATGATAATTGGATTGATAAAAGTTTAAAAGAGCAAATAAATAATTGTTTTTTAACTATGCTTCAAGCTGCTCAGAAACCAAATGCTTTTATTAATACAAAACGTAATCTATTTTATACTGGAGCAGCAAAATTAACTATTAGAAATAAAAATCGACAAATGAAATTAGCAGTTCAAGGATCTAAAAAAATTGATTCATATTTTCATAATACTGTTCAAAAAACTGATAGTTCTAATATATAAAAAACTACTACTCATACATCTATAATTCAAGAAACTACTAATCAATTGATTATTATTCAAGAAACTACTACTTATTCGATCACTAGTCAAGAGATAGATACTTTGATTCATATGTTTAATTATATTAAATATTTGGAATTTGCTAATACAATTATCTTTTAGAACTATGATTTATATAATTCTAAAGGGTAATTTTGTTAGCAAAGATCTAATTTGTTAGGTTTTTTTTTTTTGAATATATAATAATTTATAAAAAAATTTAATAAATTTACCAGAAAATTCTTCTGATGAAGAAGATTATCAATTTTCATTTGAAAATCTAGAGTATAATATAAAGCATGGTATTAATGATATAAGGTTACGATATATTACACAATATATGCAATTAGTTAGATTAGGCTTTTTAAAAATTGAATCAAGTTCTATCATCAGCAAATTTAAAGTAGCAAAATATTGCGAAAGAATTTGCGTTATGAAAAAATTTCACAAATTAGCGCAAAAAATTTCGAAATATTTCGAAATATAAAATTTTCGAAAAATTTCGATAAAAATTTCGAAATATTTCGAAATATATTTCGCAATATT